CCAACTCCACAGGCCTTTCTTTCCAAGATAATTCTCTATCCCCTTCCCTCCTACCCAGCTTGTGTTTCAGACCAAGACAAATTTGGAGACAAAGGAGGCCAGTGGACACCAGTGTAAGATGAAACATGACCATGTGGAGCTTCAGACATTGTAATCGCCAATGACAAGCTGGGGCAGGGGGCTGGAGAGGTGACTCAGTGGTTAAGACCACTGGCTGTTCTTCCAGAGGACGCTGGCTTAAATCCTAGAACCCACAGGACAGCTCACAACCTTCTGTAACCCAAATTCCAGAGAATCTGGTGCCCTCTTCTGGCCTCTGGAGGCACTACATGCATGTGGTACACAGCCACATGCTGGCAAAACCCCATAAACATACAAATTAAATTAAAAAAAATTGACAGGGCAAGGAAAGTTTATGAACACCATCCAGATTAATAATTTTGGGACAGGCCAGGCGATGGTGGCGCACGCCTTTAATCCCAACACTCGGGAGACAGAGGCAGACGGATCTCTGTGAGTTCGAGACCAGCCTGGTCTACAGAGCTAGTTCCAGGACAGGCTCCAAAGCCACAGAGAAACCCTGTCTCGAAAATCAAAATAATAATAATAATAATAATAACAATTTTGGGACTAAGCCAGTACTATAACGAAGACACGAAATAGTAACTTAGTAGCAGGTTTCCATTTGTGACTGGAGCAAAAAGTGCTCAGTGTGATAATTTCCCCTTTAAATCAATGAGCAACATCAGAATTGGCAGAGGAGCGATAAGACACGAGGGTAGATTGTTCCACTAATGGCCTCAATGAGTCAGAGCTTCCAGGGTCCATGCTCCAGCTAGTTCCTTCCCATGCTGACCTTGGTCTTGTCCACTTGCCCGCCCACCCTTCCTTCCTACAGAGTCTTGTTTTGCAGTCAAGGCTGGACTCCAACTCACAATTCTCCTGCTTCAGCCACTGAGTGTTACCAGCTTGGGCTATGACGCGAGCCCCAGATGCCAATTTCTCCATTGCGTTACTTCCCCTTCCCTGCATCATTTCCCTCACACATCACCAGTGAATGTAAATTTCTTTTTGGCTCCACCACCTAGAATTTAACAGTATTTCTTTTCTTATTTTACATTTTGAGACAGGGTTTCTCTGTTTAGCTCTGGCTGTTCTGCAACTCTCTCTGTAGACCAGGCTGGCCTTGAACATATAGATACTGCATCTGCCTCCCAACTGCTGGGACTACAAGCGTGTGCAGCCATGCCTGACTCATTTTTAATTTTAAAATAAAATTTATTTAATTTGAGACAGGGTCTCGCCATTTCTCTGGCTGTCCTGGAAATATCCGGGTAGACCAGCCTGGCTTCAAACTTGGAGAAATCCTCCTGCTTCTTTCTCCCGAGTGCTTAGCTAGATGAAAGGTGTTTACTACCATGCCTGTTTTTTCTTTTATAGACATTACATTTCTGTGTGAGCACATGTTTGTACTTGCATGTGTGCATGCCACGCCACACACTGAGGGCAGAGGACAACTTGCAGGAACCAGTTCTTTCCTACCATCTGGGTCTCAGGGTTTGAGCTCAGGTCATCCGGCTTGGTAGAGTGTGTTTACCAAGTCAGCCATCTCCTTGTCCCTGTTCCTTAGAAGTGAACTCCTCACCAGGGGGACCTTTGTTCTATAATCTGTTGAACAATAGGCACTTAAGGAAAACCTGAGTGGGGAGTCCAGGAACCCCCACTAGGTAAACGGTGAGATAAATGATTAGCCTGAAACCAGGGACTGCAGCTCAGGTTGGCGTTTGGTGACTGCACTCGGATGCGCTACACATAGCATCTTGTACCGAGCCTATGGACACAGAACAGCCATCACTCCACAGGAAAGGGGTGTGTTTGCAGTCAAATATGAGTGACTACGGCCCTTCGAGCGCCTTCAGATTGTCCCAGATGATGTATTTATCCACCATGGTGGTGGTTATATTAACTTTTTTTTTTTTTAAAGCTATGTAGAGAAGACTGGCCTCAGACTCACCACGTAGCTGATGATGAACTTGAACTCCTAATCTTCCTGCCTCAGCCTCCCATGTATTGGGATTATAGGCACGCACCATCATTATATGTGAACTTTTCATAGTAAGTCATATATGAATGCCAAACACACTGGTGGGGACACCGGATAGGGAGTTAGAGCAAAGTGAGGGAAATCTCTGCTTTAGGCTTCTGGCTCCTAAATATCTGTTGACATTTCCAGCTTTGGGACTGGTGGAAGCTATGATTGGAATGTGCGAATACATTCCAAAGATTTTACCCTACGGTCAGAAGGAGCCAGAGATAGAGCGGGTCATAAAAGGCTGTTGAGCAAGCCAAGGACAGTCGGTCTGAGATATGATCTACAACATTCCAACTCTCCAAAATCAGTCTACAGGATCTTTAACCCAAGTGTAGCTTTTTAGAACACACTCCAAGGCAGACAACGCTGCTCTGTTGCCTCTGACATTCCTGAAACGGGAATTCAGACTAGGTTCTGTTTGTGCCCCCACTATTAATGCTGTATAGCACTGGCTAACTTATTTAACTCTTAGGTCTCAGTTATACTCAGATCTTTTTTTTTTCTTTCTTTCTTTTCTGAGGCTTGAACCTATGTCCTCTGCAGGCAGGAGCTAGTCTTCTATAAAAGGTAGGGAAGGAAAAGGGCTTGTGGTGATAACTGCAAGTTGCTCACACATTTTGTAGTGAAATGGAGCTAAGGTTTAAAAGACTGTTAAGAGTTCAAGCACCAGCCGGGTGGTGGTAGCGCACGCCTATAATCCCAGCATTTGGGAGGCAAAGCAGGTGGATCTTGATGAATTCAAGGCCAGCCTGGTCTACACAGAGAAACTGACTCAAAAAACAAACAAGACAAGTGTGGGGGGAGGAGGGGAGAAGGAAGGAAAGGGAGAGCGAGCGAGCAAGAGAAAGAGAGAGAAACAGAGAGATTAGTTTAAGCAAGGAAGCCACGAACACTAGGGATGAGAAACAAGGAAGTTTGAAGTCAGGTATGAGATAGCCAAGGGACCCGATGAAGCCAGGTCAGTGTCAGCTGGCCTGATGGATATACAATATATAATGCTAGTCATTATTACTCTCCCCCCTTTGGTTTTTCAAGACAGTGTTTCCCTGTGTAGCCCTGGCTGTCTTGACCAGCTTGGCCTCAAACTCACAGAGATCCTCCTGTATCTGCCTCCTGTGTGCTGGGACTAAAGGTGTGCACAACCACTGCCTAGATCCCCCCCTCTAATGCAGCCAATTACAGCAGACTAAATTGTAGGATGGCTGCTAACAATCCTGCCCTGCTTTGCTGATGCTGTGATATTTTTCTGCTCTAGTAAATAGGGAGTAAATAGGGAGTCTCCCTCACTTTGCCTCTTTTAAACTTTTAGAAATCATGATTCTGTGTGTGGATGCATGTGATATACTTTGTGAGTGGTTCTTTCCTTCCATCCTTATGATGGTTCCAGGATTTGGATTCAGGTTGCCAAGCCTGCACGGCCAGTCTTTCCTCACTGAGCCATCTTTTTGGCTATCTTACTTGTCATCCTCTTTAATAAAACTTGCCTTCATCTCACTCCTGCAAGTGCCTGTGTCTTTAATCTTCATAAACCTTAAACATCCAGCTTGGAAACCGGGAGGTGGTGGCGCTCGCCTTTAATCCCAGCATTCGGGAGACAGAGGCAGGCAGATCTCTGTGAGTTGGAGGCCAGCCTGGTCTACAAGAGCGAGTTCCAGGACAGCTAGGGCTGTGACACAGAGAAACACTGTCTGGAAAAACTAAACAAAAACAAAACAAAACAACCCATCTGGCTTGGAGCCATTTTCCCAGGCTAATTTGATCATGTCTGGTACCCTAAGGTCCTTGTGTCAAGTACAACTGGGCCATCAATAGCACACAAAACTCCTGCATCATCCACATGTGCTCTGGCTAGGAAGGTATACCCACAGCTTTCCTTTCCTTTTTTTTTTGGAGGTGGGGGGAATACAGGGTTACTTGACATTAGAGTAATACGTCACCACATCTGGCTTTTTAATTCCCAGAGAGGGTCTGAGTCGCCCAGGCCAAGAAACCCGGGATGAGAACTCTTGATCCTGTCTCCACCACCCTAGTGCTGGCATTACAGCCTGGTTGCTCTTAGATTAATTCCCTTCCATTTAAAGTCCTGAGATTTGTGAAGGCAAACCGGGAGTGTCAGTTCTGTGGGCCACCTGCCCAGCTGCCCTTGTTCTTCCTCGAGGTGAGCAAGAACTGAGTGCCCAGAAACAACAACAAAGACTCAGAAGAGATGACAAACATTAAGTGAGACAGAAAAAAGCATTCAGCCAGTCGGGAAGGGTGGTTTTTCCAGAGCTGGAAGATTGTCTAATAGTTCCGGGTTGATCATTTGTAGGGCTCAAGGGTTCTCATCTTCTTTACTTTCTTTCTCTATTCTTTCCTCCCCTTTTCTATTACTTATCTCCTCCATCCGGAGGGTTCTTGGCCCGGGGAGATAACGAAGGCGGAGACGTTGCGTCTCAACTGTGGAGTGGGATTGTTATCTATCTTTCCGGTCCGGCAGCCCCGCGTTATCTCTCCCCCGATCTCTTCCCTGAATACCTAGTCCCTGCTAACTCCTCATCTTCTTGGCGGCCGCCTTCGTTACGATCCGGGACACGTCTCCTGGACTACGGGTTCCTCTTAGACTCGGAGGTCCCATTCCTCGCTACGACTGTCCTCAGGGCTTCCTGTCGCCCTCAGGCTAGTGCAAGCAGAAGATGAAAGCACGGAGTAAGTAATGACAGGGGAAACAGCGACTTCTCGCGAGTGGCGGACACTCGCTGGGCTAAGAACCCAAGCGTGGTCTCCACAGCCTTTCTGGTCACCAATAATCCTTTCCGGCTGCAACATCCAGACCCCGGAAATCCGAAGCGTCGCGGAAGTGACGCAACACGTACGCAACGCGCGCGTGCCGGTGGTGCCGGGGGCGGGGCGTGCGGGGGCAGGGGCGGGTCAGGGAGCCGACTGACTGGAGCGGCGCTGGGAGCGGCTGTTGGACGCCGGCGGAGCCGCGGACCAGGTTCGGAGGGACGGGGGCTACGGAGGTGCGTTACCCTCGGAGCGGGGTGGCGGCGGCGGCGTCCGGCCGCGCGCTGACCCCGGGTCACTCGGGTCCGCCACTTAGGCGGGAGGGCGGGTTCGGAGGGCCAGGCCGCCGGAGCTCAGCGCTCGGCCTCTCCGCCTTGGCCGAGTTCGTCCCAGCTCGGCGGGACTCGGGCTCACGGGAGGACGCGGTTCTCCGTCGTCTACCGCCGCTCTCGTCCCGTCGAGTTCGGAACTGGGGTTGCGGCCGGGAGGGTCACATTCGGACCCCGCGTGGGTTCTCGGGGACGGTGCAGGCTGCTGTGGCGCGGGGTTTTGAATACTTCTACTAGGTGGTAGTGGCCGAGGTTATGTGTGTCTCTGAATGAGAAGTCCTGAAGCTGAGGCAAGGGGAGTGCCGCGATTTTGAGGTCAGTCCCCACCACATAGCAAGAGCCTCTTATGGGGAAAAAAAAAATGAATTAAGGCAGCCCCTGGTGCCTAACTGTTTAAGAGAAGAGCCGAGGGGATGTTCCTCCATCCCCTCGCGGAAGTTCACTCCAAAGAGGGAAGCGCCTTGGAGACTAGGTCACTGGCAGCTGGCTGTGTCTCAGAGCTGATGACCAATCTCTGTGGTTGGGAAATGTGGGGCTGGATACGGTAGGCTCCGTCAGCCTGTGGAGTTTAGATGGGACGGTTGGGCAGCAGAAGTTTACAGCATTTACAGCATCACCTGGTTTTGTGTTAAGAAATCCGCCCCCCGCCCCGCCCTACCTGGAAGTTAACAGTTGGACCTTTTAACCTACAAACCTAAAACTACTTTTAAAAGAAAGACCCAATTAGTCACCCACTTCAGTTTTCTCAGTATTTGGGAATTGAGGCAGAACAGCCTCGGGAGTTCGACATCAACTTCAGCAAGGGCCACTTAGTTTGAGCCCAGCCTAAGTTACCCAGTGAAATTCCACCCCCGCCCTCCAGTCGCAGTTAAAAGAAAAAAAGAGTATCAAATAAAATCGGCTTGTCAAGAAGCTTGGTATAGCCCGGCGGTGGAGGCACACGGCTTTAATCCCAGGACTCAGGAGGGAGGCAGCGGCAGGCGGATCTCTGTGAGTTCGAGGCCAGCCTGGTCTACAAGAGCTAGTTCCAGGACGGACCCCAAAGCTACAGAGAAACCCTGTTTCGAAAAACCAAAAGAAAAAAGAGAGAGAAGACACTTGTTACTTATGACTTTAAGGTTTAAACGCACGTGCTTGATAGGACCAGTTTAACCAGTTTCCTTTCAGTCTTTAGGAAGAACTGTTGGGGGCTTTTCTGTCTGTCTGTCTGTCTATCTAGGTTGTGTATTTATTTGCTTATTTATTTATTTTTGGAGAGAGGCAGAGTCTTATAATGCAGTCCTGGATGGCCTGGAATTCCATATGTAGACCAGGCAAGACTCAGAACTTAGCGCAATCCTCCTGCCTGCACCTCTCAAGTGCTAGGATTGCAGGTGTGGGGCAGTGCCTGCTGTCCTTTTCTTTTGGTATGTGTGTTCATGGTGTGTGAATATGGGGCCAGAGGCTAATGTTGCATATCTTCTTTAGTTTCTTACTAACCTTGGTTTTTGAGTCAGTGAACCTGTAACTGGGTTTGGCTAGACCCATAGCAGGCGGGAAAGCTACAGGATCTCCCAGTCCCTGCCTGCAAGTGCCGGGGTTACCGACAAAGCACACTTTTTTTTTAAGTGGGTCCTGAGGATCTGAACTGGGGTTCTCATGCTTGTGTGGCAAGTGCTTTGTAGATTTAGCTGTTTCCCCAGCCCTGCTTTTTGTTTTTGACAAAATGAAGTCGGAATTTATTAAGAAACAATTTTATTATAGATTTAGGCACAGGTGTTAAGGAGAGGGAGAGACACTTAAAAGGACAGTACACCTGCAGGGCACGGGGGTGGACATCTCAAGAGAGTCTCCAAGATTTACTGATTTGTTTTTCAAGACCGGGTTTCTTTGTAGCCTTTACTGTCCTGATCTTGCTCTGTAGACCAGACTGGCCTCAAATTCACAGAGATCTGCCTGCCTCTGCCCTCAGTTCTGGAAATTAAGGTGCTCCACTACCTCCTGGCAATTTACTGATTCTTAATCAAACAGTTAAATGTAGTCAGGATTTGAATTTTTATTTGCTTAAAAAAAATTAGATTAGAGAGTTGACCCAGTGGTTAAGAGATCTGGCTGCTCTTGCAGGTCTGGTTCCCTGCACCCACATGGTGGTTCACAACTGTCTGTAACTCCAGATCCTTCTCTGGTCTCCAAGGGCACCTGGCACACACATGGTGCACATGCATGTCTGCAAGCAAATACTCACACATGAAAATTAAAACATTTTCTAAAAAATCACTGGGCAGTGGTGGTGCATGCCTTTAATCCCAGCACTCAGGAGGCAGAGGCAGGCTGATCTCTGTGAGTTCGAGGCCAGCCTGGTCTACAAGAACTAGTTTCAGGACAGGCTCTAAAGCTACAGAGAAACCCTGTCTCGAAAATCATAAAACAAAAGCAAAAAAAAAAAAATACAAAGGTGAACAGTAAAAGTACTTGAAAGTGTAGAGTGTTTGCCTAGTTTGCAGCATGGTCCAGGGTTTGATCCCTAGCACTACAAAGAAACAAAAGTAGCAAAAATATTTCAGTATAATTTTATCATGGAGCACTGAGGATTAAAACACAAGTCAGCCTTGTCAAGTGTGGAAGGTGGAAGAAGGGATCAGGGAATACCTCCCTAGTGTCTTGAAGAATTTGTAACAATTCAGACCAACAATCTGGAGCAGGAATTTTGGAAGCAGGTGAATGTATAAGTGTTGGGGGAGCAGGGACTAGGAGAAGAGGCCACCCAACTATATGGAGTGGGTGTTGAAGGGATATGCAGGGCGGAGATGCCAGTTGGAGCTTTTCTGTGCTGGTGACAGGGCCAGGGAGGGCATGAAGCAAGGTCATCCTGCAGTTAAAGATAAACTTTAAGCAGCAGCTCTCATACAAAGGCTGTTGCTGTGTGGTTGAAGATGATTGTGTCCAATGTAGTGCTGGGTTAGGTACTGTTTTGCATAGCTGTCTTTTCTGGTCATTAAGTATTTGGGTTGAATTGTGTACTCATTTACTAAGATTGGCTCCATTATAAATATCCAATAACGGGAAATCTACTTTTATCTCTCCACTCTCAATTTATAGTGGACATTTATTGGTTCCAATAAGTACTTGCTGACTGCATGAGAACACTCCATGAACTTCTTCCAGTCTTTGGCTAGATACTATAGAATTTTAAATCTCGACTGTGTGCAGTTAAATCCTGGCACTCATTTTTATTGGCCATGAGATAAGCATCTCTAGTAGAGGTTATCTGTGCAGACAACACTTGCGTGTCAGTAGAAATGCTGCTAAATGGCTTTCTTAGTCTAATAATACAGTTACAACGCTAAAAAGGAGAGTTTTATGGAAATGGAATGGTTTGTGAATCTTAACCTGTGATCACCTTTAGCAGGCAACACTGAGAAGTAGTATGTACAGGAAAATTGACTTTTATCACACTGACTAATTTGTTTTTGTTTTTTGGGTTTTTTTATTTAGTTTTTTTTTTTGAGACAGTGTTTTTTGTTGTTTTGTTTTGTTTTTTGAGACAGGGTTTCTTTGTAGCCCTGGCTGTTCTGGAACTCACTCTGTAGACCAGGCTGGCCTTGAACTTATAGAGATCTGCCTGCCTCTGCCTTCCAGGTGCTGGAATTAAAGGTATGTGCCACCATGCCTGGCTTAACTGGTATTTTCTAATATTTGAATAAAGTTCCTAAAACGCTGTAAGAAGAGGCTGTGTAGAAGATTCCCTGAGCAGGACAGCCTGGCAGCTTAGTGAGACTGTCAGAATAGCAAAAGAAGACCTGCATTATCACTCAGTGGTGGGGCACTTGCCTGGCATGCTGGAGACTCTGATGGCTGCATTTATTTTTTTCAGTTATGTGTATGTGTGTATTTGTGTGTGGGTGTGAGTATGTGCACACAATGTGCGCTTAGAGACCAGAGTTGGAGGTTGCTGGGAATTAACCTTGGGTCCTCTGCAAGAGCAGTACTTTCTCTTAACCCCTGAGCTATCTCTCCAGCATCATGTCTGTTTTCAGAGATTTCTGGGTTTGGTTTTTGTTGTTTTGTTTTATCAAGACAGTGTTTCTCTGTAGCTTTGGTCCCTGTTCTGGAACTCACTCACAGAGATCTGCCTGCCACTGCTTCCTGAGTGCTGGGGTTAAAGACGAGATCCACCACCGCCCAGCAAGATTTCTGTTTTTAATGAAGCTCTTCCCACTGGAGTGGGAAGTATAACTTCAATGGTAAAGGAGAGTGCTTTTTCCTTATTTCTGTAACATACTTTACAGACTTTTGTTCTCCAGGGCAGCCGATGATTGTGATTATGATCAGTTAATTAGATGTAACAGACTCCTAAATTACAATCAGAGGGACAAGCATTGTTCCCTGAGTAGGAACCATAGGACACTACCTGTTGAGGTGGGGCTTCTTTGGCTGGTGTTCTTGGCAGGGGGTATTGGGTCGCCTGGAGCACCTGCTCTGCAAGTACTCTACCACTGGTTTACCTTCTCCTGAGGCATCAAATGATACAGAGGCGATTGTTAAAGGACCTGAAGCAGGAAAATAGCCAGAGCCTTGAGGGCTCTAACCTTAGGGAGTGTTGCAATGAGCGAACTGAGTAAAGTCGTGTTTTGTTTGTTTTGGAGACAGGGGCTTCCCGTGTACCTCTGGCTGTTGCATGTAGTAAGAACTGCGGGCCTCTTCCCACAGCCCGGCTAGCTTTACACCAGAAATAACAACACACAAATTGTATTCATTTAAACACTGCTTGGCCCATTAGCTCTAGCCCTTACTGGCTAATTCTGATATCCTGATCAACCCATCTCTAATGAACTGTGTAGCACCGGTCTTACCGGGAAAGATTCAGCATGTCTGACCTGGCGACTTGCTTCACTGCGTGCCTGCCTGGGAGAGGGGAGCATGGCCTC